GTTACATAGAGCCAAATAATTTAATAAGCAGAATTTGTGACATGCTGAAGAATGTTTTAGGGCAAAAATTAAATTTTAAAAAGGTACAGTTTGGGATTCATTTTCATACAGTTGAGTACATGAGAGGAGAAAACTCTAGATGTAAGGGTGATTCTGGCATTGCGATAGTATCAAAATGTTTCAGGGCAGGTTTTTGTTTTTAGTTTGACGTCTCTTTCTACATGACCAATATGGTGGTGGTTAAGCCCTATGGCAGGATTAAGGACTCAGTGCTAAGACAACAAGTTCTGTTTGTGCCTTTCCCATCCTCAAGGCAACAGAAAATAAGCAAGGTAGTTACTTTTCTGTCAATATTGTCAGCTGAGGACTGTACTACTATAATGCCCTGTCAACTTGATTTACTTATCTAGAAAGATTAGTAGAGGGGAAAAATACTCTTTTAATCATTGTCTTGGGAATCAGCATGTTCTTTCTCTGTATCCATTTAAGAAACTGGAGCATAATGCTGAACACTTGAATAAGTGATGTGGCTCAGTTTTCAAAAGAGACAAAAAATCCCCAGTGCAACAAACCATCCTGATTTTAGGGTCTTAATTGTGACTGGGATTAAATTCAAGTTTCAAATTGTAGAGTGAAGTCTTCAGAATTCACTGAGATGCTCAACACAGTTTGCAATGAATTTAACAACAGTAATTGACTGATTTTTTTAAGTAGTGAAGAAAGAAAATGAAGTGCACGAAGTTTATATTTTCTAATTGATGATAAATAAGTCAGCTTATGTATTCCTAATTCTACATCAAAATTTCATTCTAGATCTCTCCTTTGTATTTTTCCCTCATATTTTAAATGATTATTTGTGGAGCTTGTTAAAGTTGCTGGACAGTGCTTGACTAGGGAACTGAATAAATTAGTAAAGCTCTCCTTTATATGTAGTTTCTGTCGAGCCCACTGCTAGGTCACTGTAATGGTTGTAAAGATAACTCCAAAGTATTGTCTGTGAGGAAGAGGCTCTTAAACCAAGAACTGAAAATGAGAGTGTACCAGCCAGTGGAAGAGATGGAAAACAGCATGTAACCAAGGGCAGCGGCCCGGTACAAACGTCCGAAGATGAAAAAGGGCAGCTCTGGCTGATAAAAGGCATGGCAAAGAAGAAGTCAAGAAGTAGGAGAACTAAGAAACTAGATGATTCTCCATTATCAGTTGATTTCCCAAATATGTCTTGGAAGGCATTATACTGAGTACTTTCAGGTGTACAAAGAACATGAAGACATAGTCCATTTAATCCACAACAGAAAAAGTTATTACTTCCTTAGGAAGATGAATTCTACAAATTAATGGATAAATATACCAGAGCTTTATGTATGTTAAGAATATATATCTCAAATTAAATTTGCCTGAATAAATAAAAAAATCTTTACAAGAATACACAGATGATTGGGCCTTTACAGTTGTGTACTCTAACCAGGGGAGGTGGTGCATACCTGTTATCCCAGCACTCTGGAAAGCTGAGGCAGGAAGATGGTGAGGTCTTGTTTAGCTTGGGCAACTGTGACTTAGGGACCCTGTTTCAAAATTTAAATAGATAGGACTTGGGATGTAGTTCAGTGTTAAGGCCTTGGGTTCAATTCCAGTAAACCACCTACCTTCCAGCAAAAGATATAGACTTTAAGAACCTGAGCAACTGCTCCAAAAAGCAGAAATATTTTTTGATTTTATGATCTTAAAATATCATATTTCCTCTGCTATATCTCCTCTGGAAGGGAATTTAACTTTCTGGGCTTCAACCAGATCATCTAAAAAAACACAAATGAAGCTTTTATGTGGAAGCTAGCTCTTGATTTAAACTGATCTTGGAATCAAATGATGTAGTCATTATTTAACCAACAGTAATTGCAAAAAAAGGACACAGTTACCAAATGAACTGTGTGTCTTCTTGCTCACATTTTATTGGGGAAATAGGAGTATTAGATTACACATAACAATAACAAATATTACTTGTAGATCTACTACACTTTGTCTAACTACTATGGTAAACCTTTTGTATGACTTCTCTCAATTCTAAAAAGTACACTGTAATGCAGGTACTATTTTATTCACATTTTAGAGATGAAGTAGCTGAAGTTTTAAAGATCCCAATATCTCAAATCCTGTAAGTGATGGATTGTGCCATCTGGCTTGTGCTCCTTCCACAATATTGTGTGTCCACAATATTTGGGGAAAGCCTAGTTGCCAACAAATCAGTAGAAAACTCCTGGAGATCTCTTCTGCTATCGTCTTTTGGAGGAACTGCGTAAAGAGGGTACTTGCTATAGTCAGAAATGGGTGTTAAGGAGAGATATGAGCCTTGAAAAACAGAAAAGCTCTTTGACCAGAAGGGAAAAAAAGAAACCAGGCAGAGTAGGACATCATTTGTTGAAGGTATATTTTATACCATAGGCTTTACTTACATCACCAGTCTCGAAACAATCGCATAGAAGGAAGTACGGTTGTCTCCTCTGACAAACAAAGGTGTTAAGTCTTGATGAAGAAAGCAAAACATAATGAGGTGAAGGACTTGCCTCTTAGATGGCAGATAATGGGAAAATCTGCTATTCAAACTCCCCTTTCTTAGAATCATAAAGCTGGGCTATTTCCACAAAGGGAAACTGAGTTTTCGGCAGGAAGATAGATGATTTCCAGGTGACTTCTTTGTATTTTAAAAGCTGTCCATGTTTTAAATTTTAAAAAGTTCTACACCCATATTTTTCACATGCACAAAATATTGTAGGTGTATATTTTCAAGTTTTCTTTATATTTAGCTTGGCTTATTTTAATATTTTCTTCTTTTCCTTTGGTTTTTAATTGGCTTTCTATGACTAAAGGCTGATTGATTAAAAAGTTAACAATTTCCTGGTTATCATAAGATTCTAATAAGATTACTAACATTTAGAAATGGGAACATAGGAGCTAAAGGTGTAGGGAAGGTGGGATGGGTAGGGGAAGAGTAAAAAGGGAAAAGAAAAAAATGTGAGAGAATGAAAAGATGAAAATAAAGTGTTTGTAGATGGGGAGGGGAGGAGGGGGTGCAGGGAGGGCAGAGGTAAGGGGAAAAAATGAGAATCAAGACCTGTCATGTAGAGGTACAAGATCCCAACAATGAATGTAACTGTACTGTATCCCTAAAATGTACCAATAAACTCAATTTAAAAAAATAGACTTTTATTCTTCATGTTGAAGCAACTAATTATCATCCCTGTTAGGAAGCAAGGAAAGTTGACCTTGGTAGACCAGTAGAGCCCTTCAAGGAGAAAACAAAGAAGTGGGGTCTCCTCAGCTCCAAGCCAATCTGACGTAATTGCCTGAGACAGGACTCAAGTACTTGGAGTCTTCACTGATGCACAGCCTCAGAAATAATGATTAAAGCAAATCAGGGCTCATGAATATGCAGCTTATTTCTGCTTTGACACACTTGAGTTATCTAAATTAAAAATACAAAATTATGGATTGCAAAGAGAGCGACAGGGACTTTTTTATTTTAACAATTGGAAAATATCACTGGAAATGAAGTCTTCCTGCCAACATGAAGCACATAATAATCATGCCAGGAAAAGGATGCTTTTCTAAATGCTTGTTTTAAATAGATTCCCCCCCACACCAGATTCTGTTTAAAGATAGACTCCGGAAGCTTTACTTCATGTGATTTTTCTCATTGTGAATTTCAGTCTCGGGACAATCCATTTTGGGACAGAATCTAACACCATTTCATTCACAAGACGTTCCTATAGTCAGCATTTATCCTCAAAAACTCTGGAATAAGAAAATTTGATTTTGGTGCCTCTTCCTTTCAAAGTTCCTCCCCACCCCACGATCTCCTTGTTCTAAGTCTTGCCTGTCCCAAGACCCTCCATTCCACTAGCTTGATCCTGAAGATCCTGCCCCCCACTCTACACCTTATTTCTTTCTCCTTCTGGTTCATCAAAATAATTTTTTGTGAGTCCTATTGCATTCAGGATGTTTGGAGACAATCTGATTTATAAATTTAAGTAGTTTTATTAAACTTTCATAATTTTTCAGATTGCTATTGTCATTTCACAAGTTAAATTTGCTAACCTCACTTTCAAATGTCTGAGCAATACCAAGTGGTTACTTTGTGGGTAAAATTAACTCAATCACATGGCAACTACCAGGTATAAGAAGACATAATTATAGTAACTTTAAAAAAAAAATGGTGTATGTGTGTGTGTGTGTGTGTGTGTGTGTGTATCTCTGTGTCTGAGGAAATAACCAGAACAAATCACAGGAGCTTGTACTGCAGAGGAGCATTATACATAGCAGGCATTTTTCCATTTCCTTCTCTGTAGTGATATGGCTTAGTGCTATGCTGCTCTTTTCTGCTACATTGGCTGTATTTTTCTTACCATAGCAGTTTAGCCAGCTCTAGCAAGGCCATACCCAAGGCTGAAACGTTGACTGGTTAGATTGGGAGGTTTGGGAGGATAATAGGTGTTGAACCTGAGAAGATTCCTTGAGGCTTTTCAGTTTTATTTCTGGTTAAAACATATGCACCTTCAAGTCTTTTCCAAATGTTCACTGTCTACTTATATACACAACTTGCCACTTTTGAATGTATGGTTTGGCACATCTACCATCCTCTTTATATTTCTGAATGGGCTTCTGCAATAGACAAAACAGACATTTTTCTTTAAAAAAATATTTTTTTCTCACTATGCAGTTCAGACTGCTCTGGAACTCACTGAGTAGCCCAGGCTGGGCTTGAACTCGCAGCGATCCTCCTGCCTCAGCCTCCCGAGTGCTGGGATTACAGGCGTAAGCCACCACGTCCAGATCTTTAAATTTTCTTGTTGGTGCCTATTATAATACAGAGTGATGAGATTGATTTGTGAATATTTTGTTGTATTGATATGTGTGCAGAATGTATTTTGATTATGTTCATTCCTGTTACCCCTTTTATTCCTTTCTTCTCCCTCTTTGTCCCCTTCCTCCTTTTGTGTTTTCAACAGTCCTCCTCACTCCCTGCACCAGAGAGAAATATGAACCCTTATCGAAATGAAAGGGAGGGTTATGTCAGATGCTGGAGTAAGTCCAAATTGGTGAGTATGTAGTCACTGTTAAGAGAAGAAAACCCTAGATTTTCCATGACTTCTTCTCACAGAAGATCAGTGAAAACAGAAATGGGGATAGTAAATCTTTTCCATCAAAGTGATCTAACCCAGTTTGCTTGAAATTGGATGTAATTCACATTGACCAGTCAGAGTTGAGAATTGAGACTGTTATCTGGATAATTTAGGGACACGGAAGAAATCTAATTTTACTGAATTAAATAGGGAAATTTGGATCTGTATTACGAAGGTAGTGTCCTCAAGTTCTGATTTTTTTTAAAACTTGGTTTAAGGAGACTAGAAAATGCAATAATAAAAGATTAAAGTTGTTGCCTCCGGAACGTGTTTCCTCTTATTTCTGAGAGGATGTTTTTTCCTTAATGAGTTAGTTTTCTGTGGACGTTGTAACCAGCACGCCATAAACCGTGAGGCTTATACAATAAAAGTGTTTTGTCTTCACAGTTCTGTAGGGTGGAGGTCCAAGGTCAAAGCCCTGCGATAGCACCTTCCTTGTGAGGGCGATGTGAGAGAAAACTTCATGGCTCCCGGCCCCCTTCTGGTGGTCTGTCGGTAATCTGTGATGTTCCTCGGCCTGGAGGACCCTCACCCTGCTCTCGTCCTTCTTCACAAAACACGCTCTCTGTGTGCCTGTCTCTAAATTTCTACCTTTTATAAGAAAAATCAGACAGACTAGATTAGAGCCCACCATGATGTCCTCATTTTAATTTGATTAGCTCTTGCAAATGCCCTGGCTCCAGACAAGGTTGCATTCTGAACTAACAGGGTTTAAGACTTCACATTTGGACTCGGGGGTGGGGTGGGGAGAGCAAACCCAAAATGCTTAAATGTGTTGCGTAGATCCCTGATGTAGCCTCTGAATACCTAATTATAAACTTCCATCATACAGTCAAAATGCCAGTGCTTTCATTAAGAGGGTTTAGTTGAATCACATTTTCAAATATATTTTCCTCTTGCTAACTTGAAATGAGTCAGAATTTATCAATATCTATCCAGTATTGTGTTGGAGCTGGGTAGTAATCCCTTTTCCTATTTGGGAAACAGAATCAGATGGACAGCTGGTGTCAGAGTCTGCATGAAGAGTACATAATCCTACTTATATAACCCATCATGTTTGCAAAATCTGCACTGCAGTTTTGGGGAGGGAAATGAGATGTTTGGAAATAAAATCTCCTGTGCAGGAGTGGAAAATTTATCTCCTTTTCGTATTATTTTTCTTGTCTGCATTTTTATTTTGCATTCTCAAGAGGTACATGCACTTGCTTGACTGTTTTGCCTCTGTTTGCCCGTGTCAGGAATGCAGAAATGGAGAATTATGTTGATAGGGTTTTACTGACCTTCTGTGCCATATGAAAGTTATTTAACATCTCCAGGGTTATGATTTCGTAAAGTGTAGAGTACATTGGCATAGACTGAGGTGAAATAAGGAAAGAGATCAATTAGGAATGGTAGTTACACAGTTCTTAAAATTAGACAGGTTTAGCCAAACATGGTGGTGCTTGATTGTAATCCCAATATTCAAGAATCTGAGGCAGGAGGATTGCTGTGGGTCCAAGGCCAGCCTGAACTTCAGAGTGAGACCCTGTTTCAAAGAAAAAGAGGTTCAGTGTGCAAATTGATTGTAATTCTGTAGTCATTCATTATATTCATGTGCTGGAAATCTTTTTTCTCCCATTTTTTTGCTGGACAGTGCCATTCCTTCATTACAAGTGGCTCTCCTGGGGCTATTCATTATACAAACAGACATTTTGGGGCAGTCATGAATCACGTTGCCCAATACACTGGCAAAAATGATTGGACTAAGTGGGCATATGAAAAAGCTGGCTGATCAGTGACTTGCCCTGGTATTTTAACAGTAGTAAAGAGAGGTTGGGGAAAAGAAACTTTCACTTCCCTCTGGATTTATGACAGCTTGGTCCTGTGTGAAGTTGTGATGCGCTCAGTGTTTTATGGCAGCAACTTATGAATCACAGGAAGAAATGATAACACTCAGTCAACACACAGAGGGAAAGGGGGAGAGAAAGGGAGAGGGACGGGGAGAGAGGGAGTATTAAAATATCATTTGTATTCTTAGAGAAGGTCAATTTCATGGGTCAATAAAGTTATTCCATTGCTTAAGCTGGTTTCAGTTGGCCTTCTGTCAGCTGCAACAGAAGTCGTCTTTTTCTAATGTAATTCACCAAAGGAAAAAGCGATAATACTTATATTAAAAGTTCAAGGTATCAGTTTGCACTGGCAAGAAAAAATTTCTGCAAGTAGCAGTATTTGAAAGGTATTGTGAAATATGGTCTTTTTATAATGTTATTTTTAAAGCTGTAACCAATCTTTTGTAATGTAGCTGCTCTTTCTTTCCCGTCATCATGTAGGATTTTAATTCTCAATTCACTCTTATGTCTTCTCATAATTTTGAGGGAACTTCGGACCAGGCTGAGGCTTGCTTTCAAAAGTTTCCTGAGAGAGTTCTTCAAAGTTATGCTACATACAGTCTGTGTTATTTCTTGTTTTCCATTTTTCCTTTTCCACCACCCACAATACCACTGTTCTTGTGAACTCTTCTCCAGTTTGTTCAGCTGGACGTGGACTTGCACGCATTGCGCATAGAGCCCTCTGTCCTGATGATACCGATCTCATTCTCCATTCTGTTATGCATTTCCGTGTTGTGCAATAAACCACACCAAATTAAAGACTTAAAACAACTAGCATTTCATTATTCTCATCATTTTCTTGATCAAACATTTGACTCAGACTCAGGAGAGTGTCTTTCCTTTCCTGGTGTTGACAGAGGCCTCTTGATGCTATCGAGTTGGTCTGGTCCAGGAGTTCTAAGAATCATTCCATTACCTGCCAGGCCCCTTGAATGTCCTTGGATTCTGTTTTCTCATTTATTTTGGGTTTATGCTTTAAAAGTATTTTCCCCCTGTTATTTTAGCAAGGTTCCTAGTGGAGGATATACTCGCATTTTTACCTGTACTTGCCCAAAATCTAGTTTACAAAGTACTTTAGGTTTCGATTCTATTTCCTGTTTGAACCACCATTGCCCCTTTAGCTTTTAAGATAGGAAAAGTGAAACATACAACATACCTGGTTTGGTAGTCAAGCCTTTTTGACCGCGAAGAAAAGAAACCTGTTCAAGCCAATGAAGGTAAATATCACGCTTCTTTCCTTGTGCATCCTCATCAGCTTCCAGGATCACCCTTGTGTTCTTCAAGGGTTGTTCAGTTACTCCTCTGGGTTCCCAGATAAAATACAGGATGCTCTGTTGAATTCCAGATGTAGAACAATTTTTAGTAATGTTTCAAATATGTCAAGGAATAACATCAAATTATTTGTCTGCATTTCAAGTTTATGTAGGCCTCCAGGATTTTGTTTGCTGAATTTGGCATGTGTAGTTAATGCTTATGAAGACTGGCTGGGTTTTTTGAGAAAATACCCTCTGTGTTTTAAACAACTCCCCAGTATGAATTCTTTCCCATTCTAGTCCTTTACCAGCAAATGAAAAATAGATTTAGTTACATTTACTATTTGTAAATCTGAAATCATTCTTTTGCAAAATCCTAAAGCAAAGGGAATGTTGTCTCTTTCCTTTTTAACTTCGTACTTTTGTCACAGGTAAACGGACGTAGGTAATCTTCATTAAGTTTTCCAGCAATGCTGTAATTGCTGTACCTTGTAATCACAGTAGTAACTGTCATTTTCTTTTTTTTTTTTTTTTTTTTTTTTTGGTACTGGGGATTGAACTCGGGTCCTTGCACTTGCAAGGCAGGCCACCGAACCGCTGAGTTAAATCCCTGGCCGTAACTGTCATTTTCTGAGCTGTGACTATGTGCCAGGAATATTGCTAAATGTTTTATATGTATTATTATTACATTTAATTCTCATACCTAACAACAGGTAGGACTAATATGTTATTTTACAAGTTCAGAGAGAGCTGCAGTTCACAAAGCTTAAGCAACTTGCCTAATGCTAGTTAATAATGATTCAGGGGGTAATGGAGCAATACTGTCCTAGTTTGTTCCTGAGAGTAGTTGTGTTGAAAAAAAGAAGGAAGAAAATTTTGTTTTAGTCCATTGCATTTTTCCTTTCTTTTCCTTTCTTTTTTCACTGCTGGGGAATCAGTGCTGGGTTTTCTACCCCTGAGGTAAAAGCCCAGTTCTTTCTTTTTCATTTCTTGAGCCGGGCCTCACTTTGTTGCCCAGGTTGGCCTCCAACTTGTGATCCCCCTGCTCAACCACCTGAATAGTTGGCGTTTAGAGGTATGTACCACCCTGTCTGGTTAGCCCTTTGCATCTTACTGTAAATGTGTTAGTAGGTTTTCTTTTCCCATAGCCTTTAGGTTTTTCTTTTGCCCTTGCCACGGAGAAACCCATGTCTCTGAGTTGCTTGTCTGTTGTGCCTTCATGATACTGAATGAACTCTGATCCTGTAGTTACTCATTTTTGTAATCTTGTCAGACAGATTCAAATTCCTTACATTTCATCCCTCAGAATGTGACTTGTTCTTCATTATGCAGAACAGGGTCGAGTGGTTCTATAGCATAGGACAAAACCTGGATGAACTCACTAGATTCATGGTTCAGAGCATTTACTTCAGCTTTCAGAAAGCAGGCCAGAAGCTAATTGTTTGTTTACACAGTGACTCAGCCTGGGATTAGGTAACTGGTCTGTATGATCTTCAATTTCTTCCTTAGCTGGGAGAAACATTCTTAACATTGGAGTGATTACAGCACTTGGAGTTCCATGTAAAATTTTCAGATGTTATTGTTCTGTGTCTTAAACAATGTCTCAGTATGAATTCTTTCCCATTTCACTTCTCTACCAGTAAAAGAAAAATAAAAGATTTAGTTTTCATTTCTGAATTCTATCACCTAGGTACCTCTCAAGTCTATATGTGTTTGTATAAATTCAGAAAACTCTAATAGAGCCTACTGTGGGATATTATTTGCTAGCTCTTTCTGTCTTAGCAAACATTTATTCTACAGTTTGGGGCTCTTTGAATTTGGGAGAATAAAAGAGTCTGGGAAGTCTTCAAAGTAGAGGACACTCGATTGTATCAAATGAGCAGGAAAATCAGGCTTCTTTATAATGGGTAGGCTATGTCTCTGTGTTGAATTACCATAGCCAATCCGAGTGTGTCTCTCCTTTCAGGGGCACACTGCAAGAAATGCTAAAGCTAGTTTGGGCTTTGGCCCAAGTCAGCTGTGTGACTTGGAGTAATTCATGTGACATCGTTGGATTTTGGTTTTCTCGTCCCCAAACTGAAAGACTTGGTTTAGTTCAGTGTCTCTCTAACTTCAGTTAGCTGCACGCACTTTATTTTTAAAATGACTTCTCATCCTATAGATGTGATATAATAATGTGGAATAGTAATATCAAAGTATTATTTTTAAAAAAGTCTTTCTCCCTAGCTTTGTCTGCCTCCCCTTTGTTTTAGCTGAGGTGAGTGTGTGAGCAGCAATAATCTGGTGTGAAGAGTGCAGAAGACAATGGCGGGGAGAGAACAAACTAGAGCCTAGGCAGAGGCCAGGCTGCAGGAAAGTGGCTCTGAGATTAGGGAGAGTCTGTGGGAGAATGTGAAAGCAGAGCTGGGTTTGTGGAAATTCTTTTTGAAAAGAAGTTTGGGCCTGGGCACAGACAGGAAGAAAGTCAGGGAGTTGGAAGATCTAAGACTAAAGATAGTGTGAGTTGAAACAGTGGCTGAAGAGAGAGGAATTCTAGAGAGCCAGTCCATGTTAATACATGCTGTACTTTAACTCAGCCACCTTGTTTTCCAAAACACCAGTCTGCACAGGCCCACACCATCTTCTGGCTTTCTGGTCTCTTAGCCATCGTTCCTGTAGCTCTTCTTTAGGGAAAGCCTGACTGAGGGAAAACTCCTGCAGGGCAGGAATTGATTTCCATGAACAGCTGAGAAGATGAAGAGGACTAGGAGCTCCAAACTGAAGCTCTAAAGAATCCTTCCATTTCTATCTCAATCTTCCAGATTGTTGCCAATTACTGAGAGGGAAATTATTGTTAATGAAAAAGGTCAACTTAAGGAGAGCATGGTGGTACTGCCTATTCTCTCAGAACTCTTGGAGGCTGAGACAGGAGGACCCTAAGTTTGAGTCCAACCTGGGCAAGTAAGAGAATTAGCAAGACCCTGTCTCAATATTAAAAAGGAAAAAGGCTGGGACTGTAGCTCAGTTAAACCCCAGTACCACCAAACACCCCCAAAAGAAGAAAGAAAGAAAACAACAACTTGTAAGCTCCTTATTCTTTCCATTCACTTTTATAAACTTTAAAGTCTGTAGAGTATCACCTCAATTTGCAGCCATTTAGCTATAAATGTCTCTTGTTTCTCATTCTTTATGGCTGAATAGTACTCCATTTTATTAAAAAACATTTTAGTAACGTAAATAGGACACATGTGTAAATACCGAATAGTTTCTCCAGCATGAAAAACTGAAAGTGTAAATAAATAAGGACTAAAAGGTATAATAATGTGAAATGGGAAGAAAAGGTACAAAGAGGAAGGGGAAATGGGAGGGGTAGGGAAAAGAAAGATGGGAATGGAATTAACATGAGAAAAAGAAAAAATGGAAACAAAGTCTTTGTAGGTAGGGAGGGGTGGAGGGGTTGAAGGGAGGTCAGGGGAAGGGGGAAAAAATAAGAACCAAGATGGATTATTTATTTATTTATTTATTTATTTATTTATTTTTATTTTTTTA